TATACAATAGAGAAAAATTGGCAATTGTTGTATAGAGTTATGCTATTTATTCAGGAAAGTATGAGCTTGTCTCGTACTAAATATATCCTAAAAAGGCAAAAATTGGCTTAAAATTTTTGTTTAAAAAATGTTACCACACCTGATACCACAAGAAACAGCATATTCCCTCCTAATACTGCTGATGAAGACTGTCTAGAAAAGATATATTTTAGTTGACACAGTTAAGATAAAAAACTGTTGGCTAAAGCTACAGAGTATTCTGTTTTTAAAAGAACAAAGGACAATTCTACAAATCTTAATATGGAATTTCTGGTTTTAATTCCCATATTCAGTTGTTTCAAGTAGGTGTATGTAAGTAAAGGAGTATTGTAAAGGATATAAAGTCATTATATGTTCATAATGAGACCAGCTCTGTTAATTTTACTTTTTGATATTCAGACTTTATAAAATGTGTATTTTTTTTTTTTTTGAAATTGCAATGACCGTGGCAGCCATCACTGTTTTCTTCTCCTGGATTTCTGCAGAAAGTGGCTGTGTCCACTTACACTGCTGGAAAATGAAATAAGCCACACATGTAGCTTTGGAATATATTGATGTTCAAAAATTAATGGTAGGAAAACTGACACAGAGATTAAAAAATATTTAATTACCTCTGGAATGACGCTACTGAAAGAATTTTAAGGTACTGAAAAGATTGGGAGTTTTAAAACAAAGAGAATATTGAGGTCAAGAAAATCAACTTTAGATTAAGTGAAGGTCATAAGAATGTATTTATCAGAGAAAGTATTAGGAACTTCATATATAACTAGCTTTCCTTCTAACATACATGTTAAGTTATCATATGGAGTGGGTCCCTACTGTTTGATATACTGTTTGATATAAATACATGTCATCATAGAGGCAAATTTCTGTCATCTGTAATTTGGCAGAGATAAAGGAAATATGGAAGACATGTAGATAGAACATAAAAGCCTCATTGTGAAGTTGAGCAATAGTACAACTTCAAACCTTAATTAGTTTATTGGTTAGCTCTATAAAGATGATGCCCTGTTAACGAAAAGGATGTGTTACCCCTCTTCTGCATATTGCAGTGCTGCAGCAATTCTAGCAAGCTTAGTATATGGATTTATACACTTGTTTCTACAGTCCATTTGTATAAACAAGTAGCTCAGAGGATTTAGCTAACCCCCATCTGGTTGCTTTAAAAGCAGAAGTACAAAAATAATAAAGTAACATAAATAAAAATAATTGTAACTGCTCTCCATCTGGCAATTTTAATAATGGAAATACAGTTACAAAACATGCCAGGTATCCAGGGTTTGTCCAAAAAGAAAAATCATGATTAAAAGCATTTTAAAAATTCCTGTACAAGACAGTTTAGCTAAGACTTTAGCTGTGGTTCAGCTAATTCCAGTATTGCAGGAATATAGGTCAGAGGAAAAGGCATTTTTCTCCTAAATGTTGGGGTTTACAGTAATATATAATTACTATCTTGCAAAACAACTTGCAAATAACAGCTCTAATGAATATTAGGTTGGCTTTCTTCTGATTTGGAGACTAAGGCTGAACAAGGAGATTTCTAGAAGACCTCCTACTACAGTTGCTTATGTAATATTAATTTAAAATTTTGACTCCTTCACATTCTGAGAAATATTTTGTTTTCTCTAATATGTCTAAAGTGTTAAGATTGTTCAGGAAGGGGCTGATCAAATGCTCATTTGAAAGAGAAAAAGAGAAAAAACTCTCACTGGCTACTTTTAGTTGAATTCTACAGATCAGACTTGCATATTCTGTTATGAAATTGGATGCTGAGACCATCAGTGCTTGCAACGTTTAATTTAATATATTTTTGAAGTTAGTCACAGAATTTTTGGAGTTGGAAGGCACCTTAAAGATGATTGAGTTCCAACTCCCCTGCATGGGCAGGGACACCTCCCACTAGAACAGGCTAATCAGAGCACCATCCAGCCTGACCTTGAACACCTCCAGGGATGGAGCCCCCACAACATCTCTGGGCAGCCCCATCTAGTGTCTCACCACCCTTACACTGAAGAATTTATGCCTGATCTCTAACCTACATCTCTCTTCTTTCAGCTTAAAACCATTACCCCTTGTCCTCTCACTGCAAGCTCCAGTAAAAAGACCCTCCCCAGCTTTCCTGTAGTCCCTTCAGGTACTGGGAGGCACAGTCCATAGACTTCCCACAGCAGCTTTGGAATGATCATGGCTTGCATTTTTCTTTTTTTTTTTTTTTTTTCTTTTTCATACTTCTCACTTTTCCTTTGTTTCACTTCGAATACTTCACAGTGTTTGTATTTTGAAAGCTGGCCTATTTTCCCTCACAAAGCAGCAGATTCAGTTTGTGGTATAAATGCTAAATCAGCATGTGTCAAACTTGTTAAACCTTTTTTATGCCAAGCCTTGAAGGACCTGATAAAATAAAGCTGTAAAGATATACATTTTAATAAAACATTATTCATGCACTGTTAGTCCACAAAATATTCACGTGTACTATATAGAAATGAAAAGCAACATTTCTCTGGCCTAAAGCTAACTTTTTATGACTCCCTTGGTGATTTTTCCATTCTTTAATACTACTTTATTTATTTATTTTACAATAAGCTTTCAGAAAAGGGATGGCATTTTTCTCAACACGTTTGCATGTGCTTTTTTTCCACACCCCTCCCCTGACCTTTTACATCATCTGTAGAAAATTTAATAGGGATATGGAAATCAGACAGGGTAACTGCTGGAAGCAATATGTGCTGATCAAAACACAGAGAGAGCAGTTCTGTTGAGAGAAGGACTGTGGTTGTATGGTTCACACACTGGCCTGACAGTCACGAGATCTGGGTTTCCTTCCTTCATCTGCTTGACCCCCCAGGGTGATCCCAGCATTTTGTTTGCTCAACGGGAACAATAATATTTACATTCTCCCATTCTTTTGTCTATTTAAATGATAGGTGGCTTGAGAATCCTGTCTTTCAGATGTTACCATCATATAAAAATACCCATTCGGACCTAAGTGTTCTGCCCTTGCTTGGGACTCTGCTCTCCTGCCAGTCCCAGAAAGAAAGTCCTGGGACAGAGAGGACAGTGTTGGCTTGTAGGCAAAGCCAAACCTTTCTGTGCTGAAATACTGGGGTATGAGGTTTTATATTTCTCAATTTGCAAGCCCATTAATGCACTGGAATGTTTCAGGTACTCAATACTGGCTGGGTCCTGTAGGCTTGCTAAAGATAATCACTTCTAGACACACTATTAAATGACAGATGAACAGTTCTCCCTCATCCTCATTCCTACAAAGGGCCCTTTGCTAGATGAGCAGTTACTGTCAGTAAATCAAGCTCCACTAGATCCAGCCATCTTTTCCAAGCAAATAGTTTTGTGGGAATCAGGTAAACTTTTGTGAATATTTATTTCCTCCTGGGCCCTGATGTGGGTCA